AACATCTGACTACCCGGCATAATTGGTGTCTGCTCCATTTTCATTTTTTATGGTACAGTATGGTTATTTTATGCTGCGGAACGAATTATATGTTTTAACATGTATTTCTATGGGAAAATGCGTTTCGTATAACGGACGTTTCACTTAACGGACGTGCACCTGGAACAGATTAAGTACGTTGTACGAGGCACCACTGTATGTTAAAATGAAAACCAAATTACAAATTTGGTTATTTTAGTATACCGTTGTTATGTTAATCATGAAGTGTCGAGGAGATCAAACTAGGAGAAAAGTGGTGTGTCCAGATTTCACAAAAGTCTATATTTTCCTCAGAGTCCCAGAGAATAGGTATGAAAAATTTGGTGCAGATTGGGCAAAGCTTTTAGGAGTTAATAATGGGAGATGAAATCAAGAGGGATAGGGTGTCCAAATTTCATGATAGTCTTTATTTTCCTCAGGGTCCAAGTTAAGCAAGAATAATTTGGAGCATACCAAACAGCTAAGAATAGAGACAAGCATTCTATTATATATATAAAACTGACAAGGGACCATCTAGTCCAACAGTTCTCATGGAACCATCTAGCTTAACATTGGATCTGATTCTCACTTGGATCAGTTCCAACAGTTCCATTTCCAGAGACAGAACTGGATTTCCAACCTCTAATATACAGTAGAGCATCGATTATCCGAATCAATTGGGGACTGGGTTTGTTCGGAAAATTGATATTTCGGATAACTGATTATGTATGAAAAAATACATTATTAATATAATATATCCCAATAGTAGTATATTAATATGTCCCATATTTAAATTTTTTTCCATTGTGTGTCACTTTGCATTGAATTNTTTTCAGAAATACATAGCTTTTAATTAGAACAAGATTTTTCAATAGCCTAATGAATTCTAAAAAATCAATTATTTCAACAGATCATACTTTTTTCCTAACATACTTGTTCATTAGAAGTTAACAAGGGTTATTTGAAATCTCATCCTTTCTTATTTTCTTTCAGGAATTTATAAATTATATTTTTCTTTTTACAATAATGACAAAAAATATAATTTTTTCATTGAAATTTATACATTATATATTAAAAATATATTTGAAGACAAAAAAGTCTTTCCAAAAGGAACCACCATTTATTCGCTTTGTGTTCCAGAATAAAAACTTTTTTGATGACCGACCTCTCTTTGTAGGCTACTTGGCCATCAAAATTCATCTTTTAAAAAAAACAAAAAATATCCAATTAAAAATACAAAATTTAAAAATCAAAACTAGTGACATTATAGATGTCTTCTTTCTTTCCACCCTTACCATTTGGGGATGTTTGGGCTTTATATATACTTCAGAATAGGTGCTGGTAAATGTACATTTTTGGCTGTCCCCTGGTGATGAATCTTTGCAGAAAATTTTCAATTGTAGAATTTCATTATGAAGATTATGTAAAAGCAATTGGTTGTCAAAAAAGTTTGCATTCTGGAACACAAAGTGAATAAATGGTGGTTCCTCTTGGACAGATTTTGTCTTCAAATTTATTTTTACATAATCACCATCCAAAGAAATTCTACAACATTATACACAGGCAGTTTTTTCAACCTCCGATGGTCCATAAAACAAAGATAAGTGTAAATAACAATATAAATTTATTACCTAAAGTTAGGTACAAACATGGTTACTTTTCAACATAATCACTATAAAGATTGAGACATTTGTCTATCTGTGGATGAGCTTTGAAATCCCCTCTTCATAGAATGTTGCTGTCAGTGATTGAGATGGGCCTTAATGTTATTTTGAAGACTGTCATTAGTCTTGAACCTCTGCCCTCCTAGCCACGTTTTCAGTTCAGGAAAGAGGTGGAAGTCTTCACATGTTAAAAGTGTGAAGATTTCCACTCAGCTTGGCAGCTTAAAACTTTTTAAACACTGTGTATAGCCCCGATTTAGCGCCAAGCAACTTCCACCTCTTACCTATGTATATTACTTAAGAAAATACCTGTCTGATATATTTCATCATACAATTTCTATTTTATGAATGAATTTAATTGTTAGACTGTCCTGAAGATAAATGAGTCTATTGAAAATGCTTAGCAATAATTAATCCTTCTTAAATACACACTTAAAATTTATCATAATAAAAAAGGAGTTGAAGCATACAGTCAAAATTTTATAATACCTGTAGCTAAAACAAAGTTTCAATATTGATTTATTTTTTTATATTATATTATATTATTTAAGTTTTATTGATTGTATCAATAAAACTTAAATAATCAATAAAATTAAAGAAATACAATCAATCAATAAAAGAAAGGATTAATTGAGATATCAGAGAGGTTGCAGCTGAAGTTTTCATCTCTAAAACATGAATGACAAACATTGAGTGCTGTCATCTTGTAAGCCTAGAAGTCTGACAATGGCATTTGGAACATCATTGGAATCATGCTCAATGTTCTGAATGCCATTGTCAAACTTCTAGGCTTACAGGATGGCAGCGCTCAACATTTAACGTTTCCGTTTTAGAGATGAAAACTTCAGTCATAACCTCTCTAATTAAAGAACATTTATATATTAACTTTCATCGTTCTGAAAACAGAATTTACTTTAAGGTGAGTATCACTTGAATGATTTTATCATGTCAAATCAGCATATAATCATGACTTCCTCTTGGGGCCTTTTTGTGCTCTTTTTGAGCAGTAAAGGGCCTAAAACCACAAAAAAGAAAAAAATCTTGATTTCCTTGCAAATTTCACCACTGATAACCACTACTTTAACCATAAACTATCTAATGGAAAGAAGGGAGAATAATTCAAAGATAAATGATGATGACAACAATCATGTTAGCAACATACCAGTTCGTTATGGAAAAGAAGAAAAATAAAGCAAAATATCAATTTATAATTATTTCTAACTTTTTTACATCTTTATACTTTTCATGCTTTTATCAAAAATTTCTGGAAAATTGTACATTAATTCTATTAATTTCTCAGTTATGTATTCATCCATTGAGCATTTCGTAGTGAATGATATTAAACCTATTATATCATTACATTAAACAGCCTTCATAAAACAGTAATTTTTATTATATGACAGTTTATACATCTGAGACATGTCCACCAGGCATGTCGCCATGACACAAATGAACTTCCTATTCTCTGTACACTGTTTTTTTTTTTTTTTTCAGATATTACTACTTATGAGTATGCACTGTGGGATGACATTTGCCAATTGCCAATTGGCTGCATCTGATTCATGCAATAAAAAAGTATATCTAGCTCAAGCATATAAATCATGAGGTTGCAGATAATTTAGATGTCTATTTATTTAGAGGTTGCACATGTGCAGTGCAAAAGTATTTAAACTGTGCAGTCAAATCACTTATGTGAATACCCAACTTTATATTTAAAGTAGAATCAATGTCATTTTAAGTAAAAAACATTGAAAATTTTCTGTTAAGTTTTCTTAACAAAATTTTGTCTTTAAATAATATAATTCATTTCAAGTAATGAATGAAATAAAAGTTAATCTTCTCTGCAAACAATTAAAATTTAAGTAATGCTCAGCCTACATATTCTGCATATGAAAAAACTCTTAAAAACAAAAATAGTCATTCAATAGACATAATTATAATTTATATTTCACTTATTAAATTTTAAAAGTTAAACAGAAAAAATTAATATTTACCTATGTACAAAATGTGTAATAACATCACTACTTTTTAAAATATAATCAGTTGATACATTTTTCTTGTTAATTCTAATAATGCCATCTTCTATAAGCACTTTCTAAATGAGAAAACAAAAAAATCTATTACTTTTAAAAAATGAAATATTTTGCATAACATATGCATTCTGTAGTATGTAAAAAATATTTATGATAGAGTAGAATATGTTGTATTGAATCTAAACCATGAACTATCTTCTTCAATTGATTTAAAAGAAATAACAGAAATTTTACAAAAAAGAAGATCAAAATGTCCATTCCATGTTGTGCAAATGAATGTACAAATAATAATCATCAGACTATAAAAAAAGGGAATATCTTTCCATCTTTATCTCATTTGAAATCTAGTTTGTTATAAGAAAAGATTTTAAATATGAAAAGATAAATCATACCTTTGTGAGTCCAGTGCAAAATTTAATTTAACTTCAAAAATATTCTGCAAATGTTTTTGATTAATACTGATCATAATCAGATCATTTATTTTCTAAAGTTAAATTTCTTACTGGATTCACAAATGTTATTTAGAGTATAGTTTACTTTAGTATTATACAGTTAACAGAATTTATGTCAGAAGAAATAAAAGCTTTAAATCTATAGCAAGTACTCCTATTTGTTATAATGTTAGTATATATGTTGCAGTCAAAACCCATTTTTAGTTAGAATGTGTTTTAACTAGTTGAAACTAGTTTATACTGGATGTCTTTGATAAAACCCGTTTTAACTCAAATTCATTTTTGACTAACAGTAAATTCTAGTTTTAACTAGACAAAATGGGTTTTATCAAAGACATCTAGTATAAACTAGTTTTAACTAGTTAAAACGCATCCTAACTAAAAACTGGTTTTGACTGCAACATATAGAGTAATTCAAAGTAAGATAATAAGCGGGGGGAAGATGACTAATTTTTGATATTTCCAAACAGTGACGTCACATATTGTCATGTATTTCTATGATAAATCATTGGGCCAATATTAAGTGTGTAAAGCTGTAGTTGGCTACCGTTATTTCATTTTCTACATCTGAGAAGAATAAAAGCTAGATAAGAACGAAGTTTTTGTTGTGAAATGTTTCTAGAATAATTTTAAACTGAAAGTTAAAATGGAATTTATTAATCGAATAACACAACAATTA